ACTAAAATCATTTAAGTTGCTAATTATGTTGTTTACAGATTAGAGTTTAATAACTTTAATAATGCTTTTTGATGTTATATTGGTTACCTGAACAATTTTTGAAAGACCAATTATTGCTTTAGATGGCTAATCACACAATATCTAACACTAATGAAAATTTTGGTACAAACATCAGTTCCTCCCTTTAATTGAAATGTGGGGCCTGATCTTGAGAGGACCAGACCACCTTCCATTTCTGTTGAGTTCTATGAGTGTAACTTGTGCACAACATCTTTGTGGTTTGGGCCTTTAGCCTCTCATTAATATCCATACATAGAAAAAGATCATGAAGCAATCTATCCAGTTATTGATACCAATCTAATGACCTTGATATTTGAGCCTTGGATTAATTGGACTTTTAAACATTTTCCTGCTATACTTGCAGGTTGTATCAATGTTTCTTGTTGCATAAATAAAATTGCCCTCCCTCCAGTTTGTCTTCCTTGACTTGATTTTATGAAGATTTATTCTTAAATCTTTTCATTGTTTTAACAATTGCATAGCAAGTATATTTCCATTGTTTTTACCAATGCTATGCACAATAACTTACTTTGCATTTGTGAAGGTGTCCAGCATGTTTTGATGGTGAATGTCAAAGGCATAAACTTATTTGTGAGTTTCAGGAGGATATACTTGCTCTCCCAGGTTTCTTATTTTTATTACAACACTTAGCCCCACTGAACCACCAACTAGGAGCTACCAGCAGTGGCCAATTGGAACCTACATCTTGAACTCCTATCCCAGTCGTGAACCCCTTCCTGCATCCCAGGCCCTTGTCCTAGGCCTGAGCACCCCTGCATCCAAATGCCATCCCAGAGCCTTACCTAGAACCCCCTCCTACATCCCAACTGCCTGCCCCAAGAGCAGCTCAGAGCCCCTCACACTCCATCTCCCTTAATCCAAGACAAAAGCCCGCATCCCAACCTGATGAAAGTGAGTAAGGATGGGCAAGAGTGGGAGGATGGAGTGAGAAGGGTTGGGGCCTCAGAGAAGGGCTAGGAAGGGTATTTATATTTGAGGTAGATCTTGGATTGCACTTAAATTCAAAAAGTAATCATGTGCTTAAATGGTTCTAAGATGACTTCCCATCACCTAAGCCAGAGATTCCTTATGCCTGGAAGTCTTAGCTAAGTCAATATTATTTCCTCTCTGGTGCTCACCATCAGAACATTATCTGTTCACCAGGGATGCTGTTCTGGCTGGCTCAAATTATTGGGCTTCCAAAACCCACTGGCAGCCTGCCTTTCTTCCTCCAACTCTAACTTGTTTTATCAGTTAGGAGTAATTTTGGGGGTATTCTTGGTCTCTTAACAGGAGGTAAAGGAGAAGCAGGTTCCGATACTGATTTCCTCTTATAATTTGAGCCAGTCTGGTCTGCCCATATGCTCAGCACTCACTGCTCCCCTCTGGACAGCTGTCTGAAGCAGTTTCTCCAGCTTCCTTATAATTCCTGTGCTGTCAGGAATTAAGGAAATTGTAATAAATGGCCTCAGAACTCTCTACACTCCCAAAGATGTGATTAAGGGCCTCTAAGCAGTCCCTCACTCTGACTCCAGGGTAAGCGAGCATCGGGGTAAGGATCACATGTTATGTTGAGCCCCTGAGACTCTCTACTAGACATCTTTGCTTTTCTACATCAGGTATGGCCCACTTCTTGGCTACGTCTACACTGGCATTATTTCGCGCAAATACTTTTAATGCAAGAGTTTTTGCATTAAAGTATTTGTGCAAGAGAGTGTCTACTCTGGAATGTGCCTTTGTGCAAGAGATGTGCTTTTGCGCAAAAGCATCCATGCCAGTGTAGACACTCTCTTGCGCAAGAAAGCTCCGATGGCCATTTTAGCCATCGGGCTTTCTTGCGCAAGAAATTAACGTTGCCTGTCTACACTGGCATCTTGCGCAAGAACAGTTGCGCAAGAGGGCTTATCCCTAAGCGGGAGCGTCAGAGTATTTGCACAAGAAGTACTGATTTTATACATTAGAATGTCAGTGTTCTTGCGCAATTACTTGCGGCCAGTGTAGACACAGCCCTTCAGTATTTCAGTAGTTTGTTCCAACCAGGGTTCAAATTTCTTCTTCCCCAGGTATTATGATGGGACCCCCTAGCAAATAACCTTAACTTACATTAGGGGCTTGACATAGCATGGAACAATGCAGCCCTTTCCAATACTTGTTCCAAGTGCTTTTGTCTATTCATTCACTTCAGCTTCTAATTCAGAGGCCAACAGACCCCTGGGGTCTCCTCCAGCTCAAGGGCCACTACCCGGATCTGCCCCTGCTCCCGGCTTCTAATGCGCCGTCCCCACGGTCCACACCTGACAGTCTCTCCCTCACGTCCTCGCCGCCCCCCCGGCGGCTTCTCCTGGCGCCATGTCCACCGCACCGCTGCTCCGGGTCGCTGGCTGGTCCGGCACTGCTTCTAGTGCAGGGCTCCCCGTCTGCCCTCTCCGGGCCGCCTCGGCTGCCCCCGTCGGCCGGCTCCTCTCCGGGTCTTCTCCGGGCTGGGTCCCCTGCTGGTCCTGCGGTCCATCCTGCGGAGGAGGCTGAGAGCAGAATCTCCCCTGCTCTCCGCTTGCCTCCCCCCTTCCTGTCTCTTTCTCCCTGCTTTTAAACTCCCCACTCAGCGTTCCTCCCACCCCCGCCCTTCCTGGGGCCGCCGCGGTCTCCCTGGGTCCTACCGCCCCCCCGCTAGCCTCTTGCCTATTGGGCACATGCACGCCCGCCATTTTAGTTTTCTCCGCTTCTGCTAGCTGCCCTGCCCTGCCGCGCTGCGCTGGCTTCCCGGCACCCCCTGATCTTCCGCGCGGGGTCCGGGGCTGTGGATCCTGCCTCTGTTAGTGCGGGGGTGAGTCCCCCCGTCACAGACCGCTCCTGAAAACCTTGCTTCACGAGCCTCTAACAATAACTGAATCAATGGAAGTTATGAGCTTAAATGCTTGTGAGGTATTTTTCCATAGTATCTGTTAAGGAGATCCAGTGGCCCATGAGAGAATTTTGAGTCAGTAGTTGGGCAGCATCAGCATACAAAGACATGCACTGCACCACATGTAGGCTTTCATAGAGGAAGCATGGGCTGGGACAAGTGTGGGAGCAGCCCAAGAATACAGTTATTTTGAATAGTAGAGCTCTACTCTTTGGGTTCCCTTTGGGAGGAATGATTAAAAACAAGATAGTTCTATGTTATTTACTTCAGTTTTGTTGTGTAAGTCAATCAAGAGCACCCTGATGTCAGCTTAATCTAAAGCTGAAGAGAAGTTCATTATGATAAGCATTGAGTTGTGACCTCTGCCTGCTTCCAAAACTAAGTCATCTTTGAGTGCTTCAAGAGCATATTATAATAAAGTGTAAGATGGAAGTACAATATTTAATATAATAATGGAAGATAAATGGTCAATCCCCTGAATTTGGTGATTCAAATGTTCCTTTATATATATGCTGATACTGTCCATTTAGAGATTGCATCATGCTGCTAGAATGCTGTCATTTTTGGTTACCTCCTCTCCATTTGTAAGCTTTGGATGTTATGTGTTGCAATGTACTTTTACCTTTCTTAGAAAGATGTCCTTCTATAGCTCAGTTACTATGGTGATGAGGAAAAGAAAATCTACAGCCAAGGTTTCACTGGATATTATCTGTAGTTAGGAAAATAAATTAGTATTTCCTAAAGCAATTGGACCAGTGTTTTCACCTACTGAAACAAATGGCTTCAATGAAGCCAAAGAGAGTAGGTGAAAGGAAGGCAAACATGGCTTAGTCCTATTTCTGCAAGCTCAAGTTTTACTGCAAAATATTTGTTCTGGCAGCTGTAGAACAAGTTGTATATCAGTAGATAAAGTTGCTCATAAGTTTCACTACATCACATACACACATTTGATGACTATTATAAGTGTGTTAGTATGCGTTTCAGTGAATGTTAAAAACAGACAGTGGGAGCACAAGGTTACAAGCAGATGTTTATGAAACATGTGAGTTTCCAGTAGGATCCATCAGAGATTGGTTCTTTCACCTACACTATAACATTTTATAACCTGGAAAAAATATAGAATCATCACTGATAAAGTTTGCAGATGACACAAAAAATCAGGGAATGATTAACAATGAAGAAGTCAGGTAACTAATCCAGAGAGGTCTGGATCAATTGGTAGAATGGACACAAACAGTTGGTCTTTTAACATGACCAAATGTAAAACTGTACACGAGGAACAAAGCATGTAAGCATAGTTATGGCATGGGAGACTCTATCCTAAGAGGAACTGAATGTAAATAATTTGGGAGTCATGGTGGCTAGTCTGCTCACCAGGAGCTCTCAGTGTGAAACAGTGTCCCAGACAGCTATAATGGTTCAGGAATACATAAATTGGGTATTCTCAAGTAGGATCCACATAGTTATTTTTATGCATATTTGAAACTGGTACAACTGCTGCTTGAATTCTCTGGTGTCCACAATTCAAGAATAATGTTGAGAAATTGGAGAATGTTAAGAAAGAATCATAAAGAATGATTAATTTTCAAATTCATGCTTCATATTACTAGATTGAGGGAACTCAGTGTATTTAGATTAACAAAGAAAAGAGCAAGATATGACTTCATGGCAATCTGTAAGCATCTGCCTAGGAAACAAATAATTAATAATGAGGTTTTCAATCTAGCAAAGAAAGATATAATACAATCCAGTAGCTGGGAGCTGAAGTTAGACACATTCAGACTGGAAATAAGGATTATATTTTTAATGGTAAAATGAATGAACTATTGGAATAATTTACCAACAATCATGATGGAGTCTCCATCACTGACATTTTTTTTTCTAAAAAATATTATTCGTGAATTATTTTTTGGAAATATTATGGGCTTTTATACACAAGGTCAGATTAGATTACCATAGCATACCTTTCTGGCTTTAGAATCTATGATGGGCAATATTCTCAGTATATCCCATCTAACTTTTTTCTTATTTCATTTAGGTCCATTTTGTGAAGAGCCTGTTGAACATTGTATTTCGCAGCCATGCCTGAATGGGGGAATATGCCAGAATAATGAACATGGATATGTTTGTGAATGTCTGGCCGGATATTTTGGCCATGACTGTGAAGCAGATGTCAATGAATGTTCCTCAAGGCCATGTCAGAATGGAGCTACCTGCATTGATATGTCAAATGTAAGTCTAAATGTCATACAAATACTAAGAAAAATTCACATCATATTGTCCATCTATATGGCGCTTTTGAGTAAAGCTAAGATGTCATCATGGATATTATAGTAAAAGTGACAGGCAATTAAAATAAATTCACAGAGGCAGTGACCTGTCCGTAAATTTTACTAAAAATATTTGTGGCAATCTATGGATCTATGGGTCCCCACACACCCTGCAACACGGCATCTGCATGGCAGCTAGAAACTGAGGGGACTCCTACCATGGATTGGATATTGGAATTACAGCATCCCCCGCAGTCCACATCTGGAAGCTGAGGGGCCCCTACCATCTGCATAAGCTGGGAGGTTCAGGGTACTCCTACCAGCAGGAGATCTAGGGTCCCCACTACCTGTGACAGCCAGGAGTGCCACCTGAGGTAGCTTGAAGCTCTGGGGGCTGCCCATGATGTCAGGGGTACCCCAGAGCTCCCAGATCCCACAGATGGAAGGGGACCCTTCAGCTCCAGAGAAACACAGGCTAAAGTCATGGCTGTTACTGGAAGTCATGGAATCCATGACTTCCACAACCCCTGTGACTAAATCATTATATATTGAATGTCTGTGACACACACCTATAAATGTCTACATATGTAACTGAATAGATATCTTGTGCCTATCTGTCTAAATATCCTGTACTTTTGGGTTTTGAGTCTTTTATGAATGTATAAGCAAGATACTTATACATTTTGTAAAATCCATTAACTGTGAGGTGCGATTCAGTAGTTTATTTTACATCAATACATAACTACATGTATCTGTTCACCTAAGATTACAATAAGACTATGTGCTGATGCTACTATAACTGTCTGTGAAAAAAAAACAATAATGCCAACACTGTCTTCTTTTCAGTAATAAACCCAAATCAAAATACAAGTAGATAATATTGTATTAGAAATATAGAGATCAGAATGTCAATACCAAAATATTGTTTACTATAAAATGTCTTTCTCGCTTAGGATTTGTCTAGACTACAGGATTTTGTTGATAAAAGTGGACTTTTGTCGACAAAACTATACCTGCGTCTACACTGCCACCGATTTCTGTCAACATAACGTCGACAGAACTCAGCAGTTTTGTTGATGGCTGTAAACCTCATTCTATGAGGAATAACGCCTTTTGTCAACAGAGTTTTGACTAGCTTTATCGACAGAACTGGCTGTAGTCTAGACACTCTTTGTTGACAGATGCTTTGTCGACAGTATCTGTCTACAAAACTTCTGTCGACAAAAGCCTGTAATCTAGACTTACGCTTTGGTATTCTGGTTCAAAAATCCTACAAAAGTTCCTTATATCAGTATTTGGGTTACCCTGGGACCCTCTGTCTTACAGAGTCATGGATTTCTTCCAATGTTAATTGGGGAACTAACTAACTGATTTAATTTGCTTAGTATTTATACCTTTTTGTTTTCAAAGGGGATCACATATTCCAGAAATATATCCTGGGCATTTTATTACAGGTTTTCCTTACTTTGTGATCTGGTCGATCAGCTGACATTTCAAAGTCCCATATTTAAACTCAGGCTATATCTACCCTATGAAGTTTTTCCGGGATACCAACATTTTTTTGCAGAAGAGTAGATGCACTCTTTCGGAAGCCCTGTAAACCTCGTTTCACAAGGAAAAAAGGCTCTTCAGAAAGAAGAGATTTTGTCTGAAATTTGGCCCAATGTAGACAGGACAAATTTTGGAAAAGCCTCTTCCAAAAAAAAAAAATCAGAAAAAGGTACGCAAATTGCAGAGTGCAATTTTCTTACCTTTTTCCAAAAAAGAAGTACAGTGTGGACTTAGTCTCAGACACAGCTGGAATCTCAATTAACTATCAAGTTCAATTTCAGCACTTTCAGTAAATTTCCACATCAACTGTCTGATGCTGAGAAAATCCTGCTCCCAAAATCCTTTAGCTAATTCAGGCGTCCCAAGCCACACCAAACTCATGCTTACCACAAAAATTCATATAAATTCATAATAATTTGGCACCTTCCAAACATATTAAATTTCTACTGCTCTTTTTGGGGTTGTTTTCTGTGGTGCGACGTTACTGTTTGTATAGCTTAAATCAAGACTTTCACAGAAGAGCAAACATAGAAGATGAGAAAAACTATACAAACTCAATGTTCCTTCTGCTTGAACCAATAGTGACATCATAAAGTCAGGCAAATTCAGAGCTGGTGTGATTTCAATCAACAAAGTCAGTTCTTGCATAATCTGTGCTGGGAGGCATATAGGTCTGCTTCCCCTTTCTTAAATTATGATAGTAAGCTACTTGCAGCTGGGACTGACTTTTATTCTGCCTTTGTATAGTGCTGAGTATAGTGGGGCCCAGACCTACTCAGGACCTCTACTGCAATAAAAGGAAAGAATTTTTACATTGCCTAGAATGTGACAAAAATGTTTTTCCAATTTCTCTCATTTCCATAGGATGTGACCTGTATTTGTCTGCCAATGTTCACTGGCAAGTTCTGTGACAACGTGTTGAGACCATGCGAGTTATCACCCTGCTTAAATAATGCTACTTGTGTAGATCAGCAGCACAGCTATTATTGCTGGTAAGATAAAGAAATGAATTTATTTCTGTACTTCACTGTATCACTTGATGATATACAGCTGATTGCGAAAAGAAATCCTTAGTCACAAAGAGCACAGAAAACTAAATTTTCATTTTAATAGCTTCCCCTTAATGATTTGGTACTATATGATATGAGGTTTAGTAATTTAAAAAAAATGTTTGAAAAAGTCCTAAAATAGATCTAAAGCTATAGAAGAAGTTATAAATTGTTTCTTCTTGAATTTGGAATGATAAAATAAATAACTCCTAACAAACTGGAGACTAGTGAGACAATTAAATTTCGGAAATACTACTCATATTCAGTATGTGTGATGATTATATTATCTTTCAAAAGACTAAGACATTCCTAATTCATAGATTTTAGTAGTTCTCTACTTTAGTAGTTCTCAACTGGATTCTTTAACCAACATATTAAAATATTACTTTATTTAAATAGGGCTATACTAAAAAAGCATCTATTTGCAAATGACAGACGTGACCCAGATATATGGACTTATAATTCCAGCCATTTTAAATAGCTTTATGGCTATTTTCTCACACCATTAAGAAGTACAATTTGTACTCTTCACACTTGCTTGACTTTTATCTTGCTGCCTTAAAGTAGGTTCTGCTGAGCATTATTCAAGTGTAGTAAACAACCTCACAAATTTACAGTATTCATAAAAGCTGAGAATTAAAACCTGGGGTACATAAAAGCCTGAAACATACATACTACAAATTAACTTAGAATGAGCATGCCCATGACATAACAGACGTATAGAACCACAGTGCTTTAGTCCATCAGAAAAAGATTCACAGTAGAAAAGTTTAAAATACATTTGTAGGGCTTTGAATATAACTCCCCAAAGAGGAAAAGAGAACATAATTGATATATAGTTCTGGGAAGATCTAGCAAGCTGAGATGAATGGGACACACACTGTGGTCATTTGTACACTAACAGCTAGCATCAAGAAGCTGTTTAGAACACACTATTTCATATACAATCCATTACATAATACACCCATGTTTCTAAAACAGTCTAAAAGGATTCTGGAAGCTTACATTTTAAAAAAATGAATATAAAATGAACTTATTCCAAAAACATAGGTTGTATCTTTAAAACAGTTGTCTCTATGTTTTCTTATGTGTGCATGGTTAGATTAAAAATGTTATATGCAAAAGCAATTGTGGGTAACATATAGTTAAAGAAAAATAACAATGAGAGACCCAGCAGTTGAAAAAAATCTCCCTCTAGTGAACTGATCATAGAATCATAGGACTGGAAGGGACCTCGAGAGGTCATCGAGTCCAGCCCCCCGCCCTCAAGGCAGGACCAAGCTCCGTCTACACCAACCCTGACAAGTGTCTATCTAACCTGTTCTTAAATATCTCCAGAGAGGGAGATTCCACCACCTCCCTTGGCAATTTATTCCAATATTTGACCACCCTGACAGTTAGGAATTTTTTCCTAATGTCCAATCTAAACCTCCCTTGCTGCACTTTAAGCCCATTACATTTATACTGGTATAATAGTCACCATCTTGGCCATTACAGTAATGCTTGCACCTAGAAACTCCAGAACTAGACGCATGAGTGTCTATAGACTGAGATAAAGAGCTGCAGCTGGAGTCTGTAACAGACTTCTTGGTGGACTGTGAACAAAAGGCACCAAATAAGTCTCACTGACCAGTTGATTACCTAAGCCAGCTTCACACGTATTTGATTTGGGCTAGTGACTATTCAGGGTAAAACACTGTTAAAACTCTCATTGATTTCAGTGTAGTCAAGATTTCACCCTACTGTTTGCACGCTTTGCACATGTTTAACCATAATATTAGCTTGGTATCATAGGCAAAAGCAACTATACAAAAATAATTAAGACAAACACATCAGGCATCTGAAAACTTGTTTGAGAAGCCTGATTATAAAACACTGAGAATTAAATATTGCTTTTTAATGATGAATTGATAGAAAGTAGAACACTGTAAGCAAAATAGCATATGTGTGGCAGTAGACAGTTCATCTTTTAACTTTTCATCACACAAAGGGCTTGGTCCTGTACGTCTTGGGCAAAACTCCTGTGTGACATGATAGGGAATTTGTCCTGAGCAATGAGTGCAGGAGTTGGCCAAAATGGTATTTTTCCATATATTTTTAGATATTAATTGTTTATAATTGCTGTCAGCTTCCAGCATCTTTATGGACAAAATTCAGTATATGGAAAATAATTGGCCACCCTAGAGTATTTAAGAAAAGATCATTGTGCTTGGATCTCTCTATAGGAGGGAGTAAGAGTGCAGGTGAAGGAAAAGAGAGATTGAGATTAGCAAATGAATATTTTATTTGCACAAGATCTCATCACTTTGTTTTAGTTTTCTGTTTTTAGCTGTCAGTGCATCATTTAGTTCTGCTCACTCTCAACTTCTTTTTTTGCCTTTGTCCCTCACATGCTCAGCTTTTATCAACCTACCCTTTGTTCCCTTGGAAAGCAGCTGTTTTCTATTCTAAACATATTACCAAATCGGTTCAATTTAATTTTCTTCACTTCAGATATGATGTATGACTACCTTGAATCCTAATTCCATTGTTTCAGTTTTTATATCATGTAGAACTTTATACTAAGAATCTGATAATAGTATTTTTTCTTAAATGGCAAAATTTAAAGTGAATTCAAATATTCAGTGAACAAGGATATCCATCACAATAGATTGTGATTATTTCCTTACTATCTGCTTCTATTATTCATGTTATCTAGGACAATACAATGTCACAAATATAGGAAAGAGAGTTTATTTATTTACAATTCCTTATTTATTTATCTCAATTTATTTACATTTCTTTATGTACACACATTTATTTACATTTATTTACACTTCCTTTGTCTGTTATTGGCTTGCTTGTTTAAAAGCCTGAGTCACTAGGTAAATTGGGCAAATAGAGAAACTGCAAAAGGCAGCTTTAAAAATAGGGCTCATTTCTTAACCTATGGCAGTTTTGTAAAATAACTAGGCCAATTATATTGACTCAGTAATGCTGTGCAGCTTCTAGCCCAATTAAGTTGACCAAGAGAAGCTGTGCCTCTCTCACCTGATCTATGACCATAATTGGAAGCAAATCAATAAAATAAGTTCTTTAATAGGGCTGTTCATTTAAAAAAAAATGTGTTACAAAAAAAACCCTGGTAAAGGTATACATGGCAACCTGATTCAGTCTTAAATATAATAACTTTCAATGGTGACAAATAAAAAGGAGGGCGAAAGAGTTCACTGTTTGTCATTTAAACTTCAGCCTTTAATAGTTACCACAAAGTGATATTTGCATTTTTGCTTGTAGCTATGTTATTGAACAAATGGAGTGAATGCACCCACTCATTTTACAAATTTATTTTGAGACACAAACATTAGACAGAAAATCTAGTAAGACAGACTTCTTTGTCAGAATTACAGATCTTGATGCTTGAAATACTGTAATATGCTTTGTGTATATAGTATATGTAGTGTCTGTGGCACCTTAGAGACTAACAAATATGTATATAGTATCACGAGCTTTCATAGGGAAAACTCACTTCTCCAGATGAGCTGATATTTTTGTTGTATTATTTATTTGAGGGTATTTTTGAGGTGAAGGGAAGATTTTAGCCAGACATTATTGCTGAATCAGGGCAACAAAAAACATCTCAAAAGGAATTTCCCATCCTCTAAATGAAATTTTCTCCTTCACACACAATCAGCTCAGGGTAATGTATTTAAATTTTAACTTTATACTAATAACCCTCAATCATTGTACAAGTGAAGATCTTTTACAATTGCTTACCATAATAATGTATTAATGTGTATATTAGACCATATAAATGGTTAAACTTCTCAAAAGTAATTTTTAAATTAAAGGTATATTAGTAATGCTGTCTCACACTCTTTTTTACAGACGTGTATTACTGACTTTATCTACAGGACACAATTAAAGAATAAACCCTAATGAAAAAGTACACTGTAACACAGAGTCCTCATCAAGACATATATATTTCTTTATTATCTGACTTGTCGTCCGACTTCTTCAGTTGTTTAAGCAGACTGGACTGAAAACTGCAGTGTTCCTCATTTCATATCCAAAGGCTTTTTACGTTGCCAGAAGAAAAATACTGATTTGCCATTTTAAGTACTGTTCTTGTCAGAAAAGAAATTTTGTCTGTAGTCAAGCTGATACAACTTCAATTACACTGGTGTGTAAAACAGTCCCCTGGATTTTCAGAGCATGAGGAAGGGCAAAAATCCCTTGTTATACTTGAAAGAAGGACACAGGATCTTTTTCAGGGAGATAAGGCAATACGCTGCATGTTTTGATAATATAACAAAGTGACATATGCATTTACACACACACACACACACACACACACACCCCGTGCTGACACAATAGTTGCCAATCTATTGCTTGGCTGAACCTATTGGCCAGATAGGTCAGGTGCAAGAAAGGAACCGGGTTCTTGCCAGTCCATACTGATGCTCCAAAGTTAGCAGGATGAGAACCCGAAGAACCATACAAGACGTCCCATCCTTTATAGGATTTTCCTTCTATGCATTTTGCTTTGTCAGGCCTTTATCTATTATTCAGCATCACAATCAAGCTTCTTACGACATGCTTATCGGGAAGAAGTTGTCCTCACAGTCATTTGATATCCATATGCTGATGACCCTTCAGGGGTGTTGTCTTCCAGCGAAAGTTGTTATTGGTTCCATATCAAGGGGTGCTTGCCACTGACTTCAGGGTTCGTTTATCTGCCTCACTCCAGTTTGTGTCTTCAGTGTGCTTTCACTTAATTCATAATTATTTGGTGCTTCTCAGTCTCCAGATGCTCCTCTGACCATTTGAGCATGCAGTGGTCGTCACACTTATCTCTCCTAAAACATTCTTTCTCTCATTCACACAAACAATACATTTACAGAATTGCAGCATGGAAAAAAAGGATACTTCTAGTTCCTTTAACAAAGTTACAAAATCTTTCAACATTAATTTTTGTTCTATTTATGACAAGGCCTTGTCTAATATTAACATCACTATGTATTACTATATGCTGTCTCTTCACTTAAATATGCTAACATCAAACAGAGCTGGAGCTAAATTAACAACTCCACTTCCTGCAGTATGGACAGTGCCAAAAGTTGAGTTAAGGTATTTCAACTTCAGCTACGCAATTAACGTGGCTGAATTTGAAAATCTTAATTTGACCTTGTCCCGTTGTGTAGATATACCTCTAGTGTAGACATGCCCTTAGGGTGCATCTACAGTGCACAATACAGCTTATTTCGAGTTAATTTTTAGTCCTATTCCAAAACATCCCTTAATCCTTGAGGAACGAAGTTTACAGGGATGTCGGATAGCACATCGTTATTTCAAAAGCTGTCAAGATGTGGAAAATGTTATTTCAGGATACTGTAAGTATCCCAAAATAGCATTGCTCTCCAGACACACCCCTAGAGAGTAATAACAAATATTTTTAGTATCATCATGAGCTTTTGTGGGTAAAACTCACTACATCAGATGAGCTGATATTTTTGTTGTATTATTTGCTTGGGGTGACAAATAATATTTTTGTTGTATTATTTTTGAAGTGAGGGGAAGATTTTGGCCAGACTTGATTTGGATATGCTGCCACTTTATGTGAAAGTCCTACTGAGTTTAACAGGGAAAGATTTACTGCCTTTTGGAATTTTTTTAAACCAGCTTATAGAACTCAATACTGTAGAGTGTTTCTATTAATTTTTCTAGGCTGGTTTAAAAAATTTGATCACTGATACATAGAATTCTATAGGCTGGTTTTAAAATTCTATAGAAAAAGTATCTTTCTCTACTACTGTCTATATGTTAAAAGGCTAAATAGACTGCTAAGCTAGACTTGGCACTATTATTTTTTTAATTTGGAGAACTATGAGGAACCTGACTGTCCTCCACCTGTCAGGAGGCACAGCCAAAGAGAAGTAGAGACAAAGATGGCTCTACGTCATCTTTAATGTTTCTAGTTTCTAGGCTGTAACAGGGACCAAAATAGCCTCCAATATAAACTCAGCAAATTTCATTAACTTCTGCCTATGAATTACTTTGCAGCCTTGAGTTGCGGGAGCATTCTTCATTTCAGCCACCTCTGTCATGGCCCACATAAACTCCCTCCCAACCCTGCTATACTTTGTCACCAGGAGCTGCTTCTTAGCATGTTATAAGTGCTTGTAGGAGTGAATTTAACAGAATGACATGTACATCAAAGGAAGATTATCCCTCTCAGTATTTAAGAATGATTTAATAATCTGGCTTTCACATATTATATATTGATAATTTGGGCCAGATATGAAACTCTTAAATATTGACTTATTCTCCAATATTTGGCTGTCTCTCTTGAACAATGCTAAGTTAATATAAATTGAAAATCTCATCCTTTTTCAGTATGGATTTTTTTTAAGTGGCAGGAGTGATAAAAAAGGACTTTACCTTACTCATGACAACATATGACAGTGAGCCATAGGAACTTCACAGAGCTTCCTCTACCATGACAGAGCTAACCATTCCTTCATAGTCTTAAAATGGAGCTAAACTGCCACCGCAGAACAGAATGCTAGTTTCTTTCTTAAAAGAAAATCTATAATTATAATTAAACAAACACAATAGCAGTCATGTCATTATCCTTTGCAGAAGCTTCCCACATTTTCTTCAAACTCAAGTTTTTCATTATTGACTAATGTGCACTAATCATCAGTGTAGCAAGACTATGCTGAGGGTTCTAAATCTCATTTATCATCATTTTCCCCACTGCTCAGTAATAGACTCATCTATTCTAAAAGCTTCCAAATTCTTTTATATAGTTCACCATCCTAGCTCAAAGATTATTTTATTCCTAACTACCCAGACAATATTAAGCTCTACTATAAAAAATGCATTTCTTTTAATGATTTATTTTTAATTCTGTGCAGAAGTGAAAATATCCAGAATCAAACAACTTATTGTTAATTTCTTGGAAGCATGTTTATTTGTTGTATTAACACAGAATATCTGTTTTGTTACCGGAAGAACATTATTTAATGGTATTATGGAACTGAATTAAATGCAATTAACTTTTAAAATCTGAGTCTTCTTAAATACACTGGTGTATTTGCAGCTGCATGCCAGGATTCACTGGGAAGAACTGTGAGGAAGTAATTGACTACTGCAGGCTGCTCAGCATCAACTGTCTGAATGAAGGATTGTGTCTCAATATAATTGGAGGATTCAGTGTAAGTAATTTAATATATGGTAAACTAATTCAGTACTTCAAACTATAAAAGCTTCAGCCAACCAGAACTTGAAAAGCATTTATTATTCTGAGAGAAGAGAAATGCATATTTATGTGTTTGCTATTTATTTAAATCAATAATTCAAGAAGGATTAACTCTAATCATATGGATTTTCATTCACCACTTTTCTATTGGGATTATGCTTTGGACTGTATCAGGTAAGTGGATTTGACAATATATGTATTGTAAAAAAGTTATATAAATAATTTTGATCTAGTGTTAAAAAACATGCAAATAACAGTCCCATTTGTGTCATAGCATTTACAAAAATAACAAACAAACAAACAAACAAACAAAAAACTCTCTTGAACTGAGTGTAGAATTTTGTTTTTTTACCTAACATGAGGCAAAATTTAATCACAAATAAAATTGCCAAACAAAAATCCATTTACTCAAGTAACCTGTCTTCTGACAGTGGCCAGTATGAGATGCTGAAGAAAGAATGAACAGAACAAGTAAGCATCAAGTGATCCATTCCCTGTTGTTCATTTCCAGATTCTGACAAACAGGCTAACAACACCATTTCGGCCTATCCTGACTAATAGCCATTGATGGACCTATGCTCCATGAATTTATCTAGTTCTTTTTTGAATTGTGTTTTAGTCTAGGCCTTCAACATCTTCTGGGAAAGAGTTCCACAGGTTGACTGTGCACTGTTAAAAGAAATATTTCCTTTTATATGTTTTAAACTTGATGCCTATTCTTTTCATATGGTCGCCTCTAATTCTTATGTTATGAGGAGGAAATAGCACTACCTTATCTACTTTCTCTACACCAGTCATGATTTTTTTTAGACCTCAGTGACATACTCCCTTAGAGGTCTCTTTTTCAAGTGGAAAAGTACTAGTCTTACTAATTTGTCTTCATATAGAAGCCATTCCACACCCCTCATCATTTTTGTTGCACTTTTCTGAATCTTTTCCAATTCCAATGTATCTTTTTTGTGAGATGAGGCAACCACATCTGCACATACTATTCAAGATGTCTTATTATCTATCTTTTTCTTACTGATTCTCAACATTCTGTTCACTTTTCTGATTGCTGCTTCATATAGAGTGGTTATTTTAGAAAACTATCCACAATTACTCCAAGATTTCTTTCTTTATTGGTAATAGCTTATTTAGATCACCTCACTATATACCCCTTTTTTCATGTTGAATAGGACTGGTCCCAGAACAAACTTCACTCAATTCCGAAAACTGAAAGCATTTATACCTACTCTTTGTTTTCTGTCTTTTAATCGGTTACCAATCCATGAGAGAAACTTTCATCTTATCCCTTAGTTGGCAATAATCACTTAGTTGGACAACTTTTTTATTAGTAGCATATAATATATAAATGAGGTGTCCTAGTTAAACTGTAATGTAAAGACATCATACAGAACTTAAATGTACTGTATATATATACATTTTGAGGTGTCATAGTTAAACTGTAATGTAAAATATCATACATAAGTTAAATTAAAGCATCAATTCTATATGCCTTGATACGGAATGCTCCTACTAGTGATGGTGGATAAAATTTTCAGTTGCACTAAACTTTTGCTCAATATAACTTATGAAATGGGAGAGAAAGGTGGCTTTAAGGCATCTTTTCCTTGTATTTTACCATCTTGAGTGGCATAATTTGAAGAAATGTTTTTTTAATTGGACAGGTGAAGTAAATTGTAAAACAGTATATAAGGAACTAGAGAAGGAATGTGCCAATACCCTAATGTCACCTTTAGGAGATGATAGTCTCCCCCAAAAAAGTAATAGCAGCAGTAAATATGCATGGTGAGATGTTATTTCTCTTCTCTCCACTGTTGTTTCCATTGGGAAAGACTAGGTGGAAGTTACATATTTCAAATTGTATTTGTTCAACAACAATATACAGAAGAGAATTGAAAAGCTAAAAAGATAAAAAGACAGAAGAGTTCTTTCTCTTCTTACTTCCTGAGGCTTATTTATACCTCTCAGAGCCTATGTCACACATCAGTTTGTCTTAATCAGTAGTAAATGTCCTAAATTTCCCAAAGCAATTTCTTCTCCAAAACTATTTAATAAAGACTTTTATTATATATATTATTATATATGTATAATGTGGCGCTGACTTTTTGGTATCACTCCAAGATACTTCCTGAGGGATATCTGCTGATCATTCTATTACAATGCAATTCATATCAGAATAATCTTTGTATCTATCTGTGTATTAACTCCAAACCCCATTTGCTCTCAAAAACGTGAGTAGGAATTGAGCTCTTCTCTCTAGTGGCTGCCAATTCACTATCTGGAAAGAAGTGGATAGCATATTCTTACCAGAGACAACTCGTGTAACACTGCAGAAGCCAGCTGACCTTACTCTGCTCCTCTCCCATCAGCAGGCACTGATCATCTCTTCTTGGACCTCATGTTGAGATGTTAGTGGTGATGGAAACAAATTTTTAATACATCAAGTGTTACTCCTCTCATCTTCCATTTCACACCCTCTTTCAACACTTTCTGTTATCTCACCCTTTCTCTTCATTAGCTAAGTCTCTATGCTTATTCATCTGGGAGGCATGCTAAGACCCTGCAAAAACATGAGTCATGTCTTCACTAGGAAATTGTTCCAGGTTAAAAAAATATGTTAGAGCCAGGGAGCCAAAACTATGGCCACAAGCAATACATAACTCACCAGAGCTTTTCATGAGGCCCACAATGGTTTCTGTCTTCAGGTGGAGAATATGATTGGACTGCACAAGATTGTACTTAGGTTTATGGCACTTCTGTGTATTAAGGTTGGGAACCACACTTAGAATCATAGAGTTGGAAGAGACCTCAGGAACTCATTGAGTCCAAACCCCTGCCAACCCAGGACTAACCCTAACTAAATCATCCCAGGCAGGACTTTATCAAGCTGGGACTTGAAAAACTCCAGGGATGGAGATTCCTCCACTTCCCTACGTAACCCATTCCAGTACTTTACCACCCTCCTAGTGAAATGGTTTTTCCTGATATCCAAGCTAGACCTCCTCCTCTGCAACTTGAGACCATTGCACCTCATTCTGTCATCTGTCACTACTGAGAACTGCCTCTCTTCATCCTCTTTGGAACCCCCTTTCAGGTCATGAAAGGCTGCTATCAAATACCCCCTTACTCTTCTCTTCTGTAGACTAAATAAGCCCAAATCCCTCAGTTTCTCCTCATAAGTTATGTGCTTGAATCCCCCAAATAATTTTTGTTGCCCTTCTCTGAACTTTCTCCAATGCATCCATTATTTCTTTAATGGGAGCCCCAGAATTGGACACAATACCCCAGATGAGTCTCACCAGTGCTGAATAAAGGAGAATCATCACTTCTCTAGATTTGCTGGCAATTCTCCTACCAATGCACCCTACTATGCTGTTAGCATTTTTGGCTACAGGGTGTACTGTTGACTCATATCCAGCTTGATACCGACCACCAACCAGACATTGAGCCATTGATCACTACCTGTTGAGCCCGACACTCTAGCCAGCTTTCTATCCACTTCACCGTTGATTTATCCAGTCCATACTTCCTTAACATGGAGGCAAGAATATTGTGGGAGACCCTAACAACAGCTTTGCTAAAGTCAAGTTATAGCACATTCACCACCTTCCCCATATCCATAAAGACAGTTACCTTGTCAGAGAAGGCAATCAGATTAATCAGGCATGACTTGCCCTTGGTGAATCCATGTTTACTATTCCTGATCCTTTCCTTTCTTCCAAGTGCTTCAAACTAGATTCCTTCAGGATCCCTCCATGATTTTTCCAGAGACTGAGGTGAGGCTGACTGGTATGTAGTACTCTGGATTGTCCTTCTTGCTTTTTTAAAGATGGGCACTACATTTGCTTTTTTCAAATTGTCAGGTATCTCCCCCTGATCACCACGAGTTTTCAAAGATAATGGCCAATGGATCTGCAATCATATCAGCCAACTCCCTCAGCACCCTCAATGCATTAGCTCCAGTCCTATGGATTTGGGATGTCCAACTTTTCTGTTAACATATTTTAATTAGCGTGGTGTTGAATAAAACTGGTGCTCAGATCCTCAGATATTTAAGCACTTAACTTCCACTGCTTTGAGTGGAAGTTAGTAGGATAATATCAATGAAGATCTGGGACTTAGTGTTTTGTGAATGCACAGATAAGCCATGTTTATAAATGTCTAAAAGGGGTAGTTGTGTTTGTCTGTATCTGCAAAAACAATGACGGGTCTTGTGGCACCTTAGAGACTATAAATCTGCTAGTCTCTAAGGTGCTGTAGGTTTCCTTTCTATTTATATATGTGGTATTGTTAACCCTAGCACTTCTAGGTCCCTTCTAGCTATGATTTACAACAAGCAGCCAACACATTTGAAAACACTATGGGTAAAATATTATTAAACATCATTAGCAAAAAATGTGTGAGATAATATATTTTTAACATAATAGTAGTGATTCTGAAGGGTTCACACCTCTATCAAATGTATGACATACTTGATAACATTACAGTTAAGCTGAGTCACTTTAGGCACCATGACTCCTATCCTCTTAAAAAGTCCTTAGCTTAAAAAAAATCTTCATTGAGTACACAATATTTAAAACAAGCAGATGTACCCGGTGTTGCCTCGGTCCTTCAAGGCTGAGGGCTGGCAGGGTAGCAGAGGTACAGAACTCAGGGGCAGGGTGTTGGGGATGTAGGTGGGGAGTAAAGAAGGATGGAGGTGGTGGAGGGCCTTTTTCTTCCCCATACTACCCATGGCCAACAGAGGCCATTTTCCTCCCCTCTTCCCACTCCCCATTTTGACACAGGCCTTCCCTCACCCCCGCCACTGTGGTTAAGGGCCAGGATAGTGGAAAGGTTTTGAGGCAGGCTTACTCAGCATGCTGCCAGGCAAGATGGCAGAGCCCCAGCCCTGCTGGCCACGCCCG